CTTTTCTACCGTTCGAAGTGGCCGAAGTATGGAGCATATACAGATGTGAGTTCTTGCTTCAGTGTGCGTGGTCAGCCTATCCCCTCCATAGCTGTAGCGCGTTGCATCGTGGTGCGACTGGTATCACTGCTACGGAGTGCTCCGGTTAGTGCGTGATACGTTGCCGACTCGGTTGGATTCGCTCGTTGTTGTTTCGCGACGTTGAAAAACAGTGAATGTCGTGACGCGGTATGTGTCGATTGTCGGTGCGTCTCGTCGACGTCGCCGCCGAACGTGTGTGATCCATCGCCCCGTGAATCGTCGGCGATCGCCCGAGGACAGTTTAAATCGGTGTTGTTACGTAGTATTTACGTAGTATTTACGTAGTACCCTCGTAGTACAGACACCTTATTGCGCGGTTTGCCTCGCCTCGTCCCGTCTTGCCTTGGCTCGCCTCGTCCAAGTCTCGTCTCGCCCGTCCGGTCGTCTCCCTGGTGTCTCGCTGGAACACGAAGGTGCATGCTACCGTAGATCGAGCGGATCAGCACGCCTCGCGATATACAGGCGGATGATGTTGGATCGCGACACGGCGATACATCTCGTCGCCGGAGGGTGGGTATTATTTTCGTCCAACGCGCGCGCGCGCGCGCGCGCGCGCATCTCCGTCTGACCCGGCCCGGCACGGCTGTTCTGCGTCACATCAGCCTTGGCAAATCTTTAGGACCATCCGATTTCTTCTGCAATAGTTCCGATTTACGCGAGCTCGATTGGGTCGAAGGGGGCGCCTAATAGCCTTCCCGGATCACACCCGGTCTAAATTAGGTCGAGCGCGACGAGGACCATTTCTTCCCCTCGAAAGATCCTCTTTAATCGGCAGTGCGTTTAATATGTACACAGGATATTTCGAAAAAGAAAACATGATCGAAGCTGATTTTTTACTTGAACGTTTTTTGTCATCTATGAGTCAATTTTTTTTTGACGTTATTGATTTTTCTTCAAGAATATTGGAGATAAATCTTTTGCTTGACAAACTGATAAATCTTTTAGTTATTGTTGATTAAAGATATGTAAAGGTTAATTTCAGGTTGAAGTTTAATATACAATGCATTAACAATTTTAATTGTTAAAATAACACTTATTTATATATATTCTTATATGTCAAATAAGAAAATAATGATCCTGTTGACAAAATTGTAGGAAGCAGGAAAATCGTGACAATTTAATAAAAAAATTAATTCATGCTATTTTCGTAATAATTCATAAAATAAAATTATAAAATAAAAATTTTTAAGTTTGATGAAAATAAAAAAGTAGACATTCAATATTAAAAATTTTTAGCAATTAATTTCTCTTTCTTTCTATTTTTGTTAGAAAACTAATTTTAACATGATTAGAAAAACTATATCAAAACTAGATATCTATAAGAATTATACATATATATATATATATATTCGTACACTTCTTCTCTCTTCTTCTCTCTCTCTATATATATATATATATATATATAGAGAGAGAGAGAGAGAGAGAGAAAGAAAGAAAGAGAGAGAAAAGGATCGTACGTGCATCGAATATGCGATCAAATTTCGACTCTTGATCCATTGTAAGTCCATTGAAAATGCACTTACATTGAAATGAGTATCCCAAATTTAAATTTGAAAGACAAGTATAGAGGAGCAAAGGAAGATCAAATATATAATTTCTCTTCAGTCTGTGTCATGATCTAACAATATAAGTGTAATGCAAGCAGGCGTCTCCATGATAGGCACAAAAATGAGATAAACCGATCTTATCACGAGAGCATGCAATTTATAAACGCATTACTGACAATGAGATAAAATCAACTCATTTAGTCTCTGCATTTCGAACATTACGGAAATAATACGCTTCAATTAATTTGTCTCAATATTCAAATCATTGTAAAATAAATCTTTGTTTTACATAAATATTTTGGAATTTTCCTAGGAGAATTTATATATTTAAAAAAAAACGTGGGCAGCTTTGACGCAGTTACTAATAATTATCGAACAACACGCGATAAAAGCATGCGTATGAAACGCAGCTTCAGATTCGCGATGTGTGTATTCGCGATTTCTTGTAAAAGCTATTATTATATTAAACTGACGATGCGCGCGTAGTCGTAATTGCAACGAAATTATCAGACAATTATTTTTAACTTAATTAACGAGTTACATTCCAGTGGCAGATTATACGCGCATCGTTTACGAGAATAACTATATAGTGCAACTATAGTGCGCAAAACGGATGCAATCGGCAATTTTTCTAGATAAATAAGATATCATCGAGAAAAGCAGTTTCTAGCTGAGATTTTTTTTCATTCTTGGTAATTATAATACAAGCTAATCTCTGTATGTCAAATAGTACAAGCTAACCTCTGTATGTCTTATCGGCAATGCAATAAATTTATCACGTTTGCTTTTTACAATAATTACGATGTGCATTGAAAAAGAGAATTGCACAAAAGAAGCCTGAGGTTGAATATTACTGATAACCTTAACCGATTCTAACTCGGCAATTGTCGGCCTTTCTATTTTCTAGCCAAGATAAGACCGGTTTTTCACCACTATCGTTTAACCCCAATAATGACCGGCCAAATCTGCTTTCTCTTTCTCTCTCTCTCTTCTCTTTATTTATTTAATATATAGGCCGTTTGCAAAGAGATGTTGAATCAGTTGAATTACAATTAAAAATAATGATTCGAATTATGAAATTTCCATAGAGAGAAAATCTAACTGGCTGGCGTGAATAAAAATATTATATTATTTGGAGTTGAGTTGCGCAAACAATATTGACTTGTTTATTGGTTCTTGTTTGTAATACGTAGAAAAATTTTAATTAATTTTTACTCATGATTACATAATTAATCTTAAAAATGCTCTTAACATGGATCATCATCATTGATTAATTCTCTTTAATTAATCTCATCTTTTTATATATATATATATATATATATATATATATATATATATTTAATCAACAGCTACGACAAATGGAATAATGATAATAAATAATAGAACTCGTATACATATTCGTATAATAATAAGATAGAGTGAACAAGTAACAAGATTATTGATAGTTAATATTAATTAACTGTGCCTATATCTAAACTTTGATTGGCATATTTGCATTGTAACAATATCTTTACAACATAGTATAACAATATACAAATTCTCTTGTGTTGTTATTTACAACACTACAAATGATAAACGATGACGAAGTCGTCGTTTGGAGTAATCAACCGGCTGGCCTTACCAATGCCGAAATGTAAGATTGTTATTTGCAAGATCGCGTGTGTGTGTGTCAGCTCATTCGGAAAGGAATTCGACGACGCAGTTATGCAAAATATACGTGTCAGGCGCCACGTACTTGCATTCGCTAACCTGACGCGCACACGCACGTGGACGCGTCATGATTGCAAGTTTTTAGACGTGCTGCAAAGAATTAATCTGAATTTTCGATTGGAAAAATCCTTAATATAATATTCACTCGCGATAATCCAGAAAAATCATCCCTCATGTACGATAAAAGTGACTGAGATTGCGTCATACATGTAATTTCGTGTTAGAAGGGAAAAGATTTTGTCAGATCACGAGACTCGTGTAGGATTGAAATGTAAAATTCAATACTTGAGGAAATAAATAAGCTGTAAAGCTCGTGAACTGTTCGATCTAGGAACTACGATCTAGGAATCTGTTGATGTGATTATAGTGATGTAAAGAAAAAGAGAGAGAAAGAGAAAGAGATTGCATTTGTTGATGCAATTCTGTCTAGTCATGAAAGATTGTTCTTTGAATCGCAGAATCGAAGTTTGTAATTCATGTTGATAGAAGTTTAATGACAAATCGTTAAACCTTTGTCTTTTAACGCTGAATATTTTGGTGTCTTAAAACTTGAATAACCAGTCAGAATTATCATATAATTAATAGTTATAATTAATCAAGGACAAAGCCATACAATTCTCTTTAATCCGCTGAAACTTCATATACAGTTTTCTGTATAATTCTTTATAGCTTTTTATTTTGTATCTAATTTAGAATCTAAGGGCTATTCATAATTAGTTCTTATATTTAAGATCTTAAACCAATCACAAATCATATTAGCATCTTAAGTATCAAGTTAAGACGATATATATATATATATATATATATATGTGTGTGTGTGTGTGTGTGTGTGTGTGTGTGTGTGTGTGTGTGTGTGTGTGTGTGTGTTATATATATATATATATATATATATA